AACACTGGGTGACTCTGCTTATCCTCAGGCCTTCTCTTTTTTTTAACTCCCAGACACCTGTGCATCACCAAACTTCCATATCCAGACCTACATGACTCTTCCAAAGTTGATACTTACCTCTGGAAATGTGGTGTCCTATTCTAAAATGGTGTATGAACTTTGGAAAATTTATGTTAACTTGCTATGAGTGAATACTCACCATATGAGGACAGACTAAGAAACACTGACAAAAACTTGATTTGAACATTACCAAAGAACTCAATTTAAAGTATTCTATTTAAATCTTGGGGAAAAATGAAAGTCTTATCTGAATGAAGTTTTGAAAAAAAATAATCTAAATATGTGTGTGTGTATGTGTGTGTGTGTGTGTGTATGTGTGTGTGTGTGTGTGTGTGTGTGTGTGTCTGTATGTCTGTCTGTCTGTGGTTTGAATAGGTATGGCTCCCATACACTCATGTATTTGAATGCTTGGTCCATAGTGAGTGGCACTATTCCAAGGTGTGGCCTTGTTGGAGGAAGTGTGTCACTGTGGAGGCGGGCTTTGAGATCTCATCTATGCTCAAGCTATTCCCAGTGTGATACACAGAGACTCCTGCTGCCTGCAGATTGAGATGTAGAACTCTCAGCTCCTTCTCCAGCACCATGTCCACCTGCACACCACCATGACCCATCATGATGATAATGGACTGAACCTCTGAAACTGTAATCCAGCCCCAATTAAATGTTTTTCTTTATAAGAGATGCTGTGGTCATGGTGTCTCTTCACAGCAATAGAAACCCTAATTAGACATGTATTAATTTGTTACACACACACACACACACACACACACACACACACACACACACACACACTTTAGAAACAGAGCTGGGTTTTAAACTCAACAGTTATTTAATAGCTATGTAGCCTTCAACACATTTGTTATCTTTTCCAGACTTCACACAGGTTCTAATACCTGTCTCACAAGGTTTGTGCAAGAACAGCTAATTCAGTGCTTGGCCTGTAGGGCAGAGCACAAAAGAATACTTGCATTTCATTATTGCCATTGGAGGTCTTTTAGTTGTGAAGATTTATTTGTTCCCCAAACATTATGTCCTCCCAGTCATGCTAACATTTTATTTCTATTCTTTTTCATTTGTTGCCTCTGATAGTTTAAAGGTCTTAATTTGTTGCGTATGATTTGTGCTTCACTGCTCTGGAAAATCTCTTGGCCTTGGCTGGTAAGGCTCACTGTCTTCCTTCAGTGAATCCTCCTAGACTTCATCCCTGACCAAAGCCTTTGCTTAATGGCCTACATCTTACTTTGCTTAGCCATTTACAAAGCACATGGCACAGCTTCTTTCGACATGGTTCTAAAAATGTCCCTCTATAGCCTTTGGGGCACAGCATCATCGGGGACTACGATTTTAGTACAGTGGTATTATTGGCCCCTGATATTACACTGGGAAAGATAGGTTATTGTTTATAATTTTTTGGCTATTTTTCTAGTAACATTTGAATAGAAAGAAGTAAAAATACAAATACAAAGTGTCTCATCCATGGCCTACATCCACAACAAAAGCAGGCAGTATTAAACCAGTTAAAACAATCAGAGGGTAATTACTCAGATAAATATAGCCTACTCTATGAATTTAAGCAAAGCAAGAAACTCCCTTCAACATGAGAGAGAGAATGTAAAAAATAATTAAAATGGGAGTTGTTAAGTAATTGCCAGCACCTCTTCTGGAATGACATCAACTTCTTTACACTTGATAGAATGCAACTATAATATTTTCTGTGTTTCGAAAGAAGAACGCAGTTGATGGTTTACTCTTTTTGGTGTTTATATATTAGCACACATGTATAAAATTATGATAAACTATCTCTTCTTTTTACAGATGTCTGTCTTTCCCTTGTTCCTGAAAGGATCTCGGCTTCCAGGCCGTTGTGGCTCTGCTCAGACTACTCCTCACTCAGAAGAGGTAAGAGGTTGTCAACACTGCCCGAGGCCGGGGACCACAACCCGGGTTCTTAGAGCTTTGCCCCTCACCGGCTCACTCTGCATTCTTGTCTTAGGACTATTATTGTAGTTGTTGGCTCTGGGTCCAGCCCCTGCATCAGGGAAAGAGCAGAACTACCACAAAGCATTTCTGCCCTCCTGCTGGTGTTGGTGGGCTCTGTTTTCCCCCATGATATACAGGAGGAAAGTAGAGCCCGCCAATGTGGAGTAAATTACTCCGAGGTGAGGATGTTATAGTATCAGCACAATTGCAACCATCAGTCAAGAAGCCGCAAGCTCACTGAACTCAGGACGGCCAGCCATGCCAGTTTACACAGGACTGGGAGACTCTTGAGATGAAAGATCCGCAGGGCTAAAATTGGGGCAGTCCCAGGCAAATCAGGATGGTTAGTTATTCTAGGGATCTGACTTTGGAAACTGTATGTTTTTTATATTTTTCCTTCTATACTATAAAATATGGAGTATTCTCTACAATATGTAGGCAGCCATATTCCCCAGAAATCCTCAGCTCTTTCTACCCATGACCTCAACCAAATCAGGGGATGCTGTGAGTTTCTCACTGGAGATTACAGGCTGTTGACTCTTTTCTGGGCCGCAGGAAATCGAAAGGCTGACAACTCCACGTCTCTGTGGTTTTTCTGGGCTCCAGCCCTATCGGATTTCTAGGCAGAAAATTGTTGCTCTTCCTCTTTGGTGATGATTGTGTGAAAAGTTCAACAGTCCTTCTGATTGAAAGAACAGCAAGGTTTATGATGAGGAAGAAAGTTCAGGCCTCTGGGCATTTAAATCCCTCCATCCAAATACTCTGTCTGATGCGCTAATGGGTCTTCTTAACCTCTTGTCATCCATCACTGATGTCTCAGCTGATCTGCGTGATTTCTCACAGCAGATGAAGGACCCTAATGGGACAGATTCCTAGAACTTGCTCATATTGGTCATGTTCTTTTTATTTTTTATTTTTCTTTTAGCAAGGTCTCCTTTCTTTAGGCGCCTCCCTCTGACTGATCCTATTGTCTGTGTCATATTTGAGAAATAGACATTGCATCTATTGGATGCGATTGGTTTCTTTTACCCTCCTGACAGCAGCTTTTCTAAAATATACAGGACCTTTGGCTTCTTCAGAAAGCCCTGTGCATCCTTTCTAGACAAGAGCTGGGTTTGATGCGTGGCAGGTGATAATGTTTTTATTATTTTTATTATTCGTGACAAACCATGTAACTTTATTATGCTCTACTATGGCAGTCTTTTTTACACTTTAGGACCATACTTATTAGTGGACCATGAGTCAATGTAGTAAGTCAAATTGGTTATTTTGAAAAGTACATTTGAGAAGACTAAACCAGACTAGGGAATTAGGAGTATATTGAATATAATGAGAATTAATATTATTCCATGAAACACTTATTTGTAGCTGAAAGGTTTCTCAAATCTTGTCCGGCCCCACCCAGCCTGGTGGTCCCTCAGCTGCTTATAAAATAATCATTCAGAGGCTTAATATTAATTGGTAGCAATTGCATGGCCTATGGCAGGCTCCTTGCTAGCTAGCTCTTATAACTTAACCCATTTCTATTAATCTATATGTTGCCACATGGCCGTGGCATTACCGGTCTGTGGGCATCTTGCTCCTTCGGCAGTGGGCTGGCGTCTCTCTCCTTTCCTATCTCCTCCCCATATATCTGCTTGAATTTCCCACCTGCCTCTAAGCTGCTTTGCCATAGGCCAAATGCAGCTTTATTTATCAACCAATCAGAGCAACACATATTCACAGCGTACAGAACGACATGCCACAGCATTTATTAATGTGTGTGTGTGTGTGTGTGTGTGTGTGTGTGTGTGTGTGTGTGTGTGTGTCCCCATATCCAGGTTTGTGGATCATAAGAAAGTATATGGATTTGACAAGTATGTAATTTTTAAATTAAAATACAATAGTTGTAACTATGTATGTATATGTATGTGTACATGTGAGTTCAGTACACATGTACACATGCCACACAGTACACATGTAGAAACAGAGGACAACTTTTGGTCTTCTTCCACTGTAGGACCTGGAGCTGAAACTCAGGTCACCACATTTGAGAAGAAAGTTCTTCTTATCTGCTCTGTCTCACCTGCCCTTAACATATATTCATCATCGACTGTTGAACAGTTATTCCCTCTAAAGAAAACAAAATTGAAAAATCCCTTTTTGAAGTAAAGAGGTTCAAAAGGTTCAGAAAGTTAAGCAGACTCACAAGACCCTGGGGCCTCAGAAAGTCACAAGACCCCGGAGGCCCTGCCAGGATTGTGCTGTGGGCACCAGACAGTTCCTGGGGAGGGTGACACTCTTCAGTGGAGCTGCCTGCAGGCTGGGCAGGGAGCTCTAGGGGGTGCAGTGTGTGTGAGTCATCACCCATGATGCTGTCTGCTGGTCACCCATGCTTTTGTGAGTCACCCTTGACCCAAATAACTCCAATAACCTCCTTGGGTTTACCAAGTTGGGCTTGGGTGCCATCATTTCTTTGGTCTAATATTGATCTAGGATGGGTAGATATTGTTCACATCTCCCCAGGAATAGTCATGCACAATCCTCATATATACCACACTTACTAAAACATGTCTATAAAGGTATTCATAGAATGACACTCACCATACTATTATGTCAGTATCAAAAGATGGTCAACAACCTAAATGTTCTTCAGATGGGGAGCCTGAGATTTAGGAGTCCTGTATCCACAGTGGTAGTTCCTGTGTCTTTCCAGAGCCCAGCATGATGAGTGCTCAGTAGTGTTTCCTGACTGCTGCTGCTGTTAAAAGACAAACACATTCTGAGGTATCTCTCTAGATAATTTAATGTAATTATTGAAATGATGTTTTAAATAACTTTGGAGACACAGGAAATGTTATGAGTATGTTAGGTAAATATTTAAATATTTAGTCGTGGTTGTGCATATCTGTGGAAGGTTGGAAGCAGAAGTGTCATATATTAACTATATCAATATCTGGCAAATGGGATTATAGATTGCTTAAAAATTCTACACTCCTTAAATTTTTCTTTTGGTAAGCAAGCCTTACTTTGATGTTAAAGAGGGCATTGGATTCCCTGGAACTGAAGTTGTGAGTTGCTACATGGGTGCTGGGAACCAAATCCAGATCCTCTGCAAAAGCAGTGAGCACTCTTAACTGCTGATTCATCTCTCTAGCCCTTTCAGGCTAAAAATTATTTTACTTGAGGGCAGGTATGGCAGTACATGCCTTTAATCCCAGCATTCATGAGGCAGAGGCAGGTGGATCTCTGTGAATTTGAGGCCAGCCTGGGCTACAAGCTAGTTCCAGGACCGTCAGGGCTACACAGTGAAACCTTGTCATGGCGGGGGGTGGTGGGGTATTTGGCATTAGGTTAAATGAGAAAACTTACTCAAAACCATTTAGTTTTGCAGTTTTAACTGCCCTACTACTCATTTCTTATGGACTTGGTGTAAGGTTTTCCACTCACCCTTGTACCAACCCTGCAAAGCGATCCCTTAACGGTGTATTCATCTACTCAACCCGTTAAACTCTGTGGAAACAGTTTAGCCAGGTTCAAGGGGTTCAGAGATGAATGGCGCAGGGTCTCTCCTCTCTAAGAGTTCATAGCCTGTTGGGGGAAGAAAACAAAGAAACAAGCAATTCTTTTTTTTTTTCAAGACAGGCTTTTTCCGTGTAGCCCTAGCTGTCACAAGACTTACATTAAAGATCAGGCTGGTCTTGAACTCAGAGGTCCACCTGCCTCTGCCTCTGGAGATTGAAGGCCTGTGCCACTACTCCAGGCTGAAACAAGCAATTCTGACACTATCATAAGGACTAAAGATACCAGGATGCCGAGCATAAATTGTGACCCCAGGACTCACTTTTTGTAGTAACTTTCGTCATTTAGAGGTTTGAAAAACATTCTAAGTGTCTTTCGAGAAAAATGTAGATGTTTCCTCCTGTGTCGGGATTGCCTAACAAATCAAGTTCTAGTAGCAAAGGTGTCAGCCCGCAGTTTCTCAGGCAGAGAAGTCGTACTGGGCTGCACACTGCCCTGGTAAAGAACATGGGTTTGGATGGGCGGCGGTGGCGCAGGCCTTTAATCTCAGCACGTGGGAGGCAGAGCCAGGTGGATCTCTGTGAGTTCGAGGCCAATCCTGGTCTACAGAGCGAGATCCAGGACAGGCACCAAAATTACACAGAGAAACCCTGTATCAAACAAACAAACAAACAAACAAACAAACAAACAAACAAGAACATGGGTTTGGGCCTCATTCTGTGGAGATGGAGGTTTTCTTTCCCCATGTAAGTTGGTACACAAATTCAAGTTTCATTTTTCATAACTGTATAAGAGTTATCAACATTATCAACTCCTCAGAGTGTCAGAATTAAAACATTTAGTGTGGTCCCTAGCACATAGTAGGGGTCACTATATAACGAAAATATTTTTAGGAGGTATTTCTTAAAGTCTCAATTGTTGTCAGGGCAATCAATTGAATTGATGCTTTTTTTGACTATTTGCTAAATACATGCACTATAAAAGTTCACATTTCTTATGAACTGCTTTACTTTTTAATGTAGTAAATGGATTTTGCCTGAGAGTTGGAATGGATTAATCAATTGAGAATCAAGAAAAATTATAAAAAAGAAACTCAAAGTTGGAAAAAGTCTCATATCTATCTAAGCAATCTCTGCAGAGTTCTGGGGAGAAATCGATTAGCTATGATCTCTCTTCCTGGATAGAAGGGGAGGGGGAGCTGAGACACTGTCACTTTGAGATGCCCTCCGTTCCATCATTGGTCACTCCTGTTTCTCTTCGAAGACTCCAGCTTCTGCTGGTCACCTTCTGAAGCTCTCAACCATTGTGTCTTTTGTAGGTCTGATCATGGAAGAGACATGTTTATATTTATATTATACTTCAAAACAAAAAAAAACACAAACAAAATCTAAACATTGTATAGAATTGCCCACTTCGCCTTTTACAAGGGAATGTTTGGTTCTTTAAATACTTACTATGTATTTATGATATAATTTTCCCTCCTTTTTCTGATGCTGACTTCTTTCTGCAAATCTCTGGGTTAATGAAGATCTTTCTCCATTGCAAACGAGAACTTAGAGGTAGTTGGGCCTGAGGCATGATTTGATCTGATAGACAAGATGATGTCACTGGGAAGCCTTTTCTCCCACGGTCTAAGCTCCTTTACTCCGTGTTAACACCATTCCAAGACAAGCGTTCCCACAGGGGTAGGGCAGATAAGGCTGAACACCAGCTTCCGGCTGAGGAGCCTTCCAGCTCAGCCACTGCAGCTGCAGAGAACTACCTTTTCTGAGAGCAGAATTCTGAGCTGCTTTTCATCAGTGCAGCCTGAGGGGGGTAAGTGTGCTCACCCGCGAAGGGGGCGGCTTCCTGCGAGGCAGAATTCCCCCAAATGAGGGCGCGTGCTAGACTAGCCAAACTCAAAACAAATAAGCAAACAACAATAATAGAACTGAAGTTCATCCCAAAATTAATTCGGTTAGTTTCTTTGAGATAACCATAACATTGAAGACATTGAAATTAAAATAACCAACGTTAGGCAAACCATAAAAGTTTAACTGGGCCGGGCGGTGGTGGCGCACGCCTTTAATCCCAGCACTTGGGAGGCAGAGCCAGGCGCATCTCTGTGAGTTCGAGGCCAGCCTGGTCTACTGAGTGAGTTCCAGGAAAGGCGCAAAGCTACACAGAGAAACCCTGTCTCGAAAAACCAAAAAAAAAAAAAAGTTTAACTGAGCAAATGATGATTTACTAATCGACAGCCCTTCAAACAAGCAGAGGTTCCAAGCTCCATTCCAGAAAGGACAGGACACAGACGTGAAGTACAGCCGCAGCCCAGAGGCTCTCCCGAGCAGTGGCTTGTGCTGTGCCGCTTCAAGGTCAAAGCCCAGCATGGTTGTTGCAAAGGCGGGGGCGCTTTCTCAAAGTGCCTCTACTTTCGTCTATGACGTAGGTCTAATAAGGCGGGCCTCATCCCAAGTGCCACCCTGCGGATGAGGCTCCCGCCACAGCAGACGGTGCTAATTCAGCTGAAGTTTTCGCCACACACACATACACAGCTTGATTGATTGTAGCTCAGAATTGGTCTCATTTGAATGTAGCCAGCTGGCCACCCGCAAATGACTGGAGCTGAAGGGCTGCCATTGGCGGAGACACAGCCATTTGTTAAGAAGTTTTAGTACTGAAGGGAGACTAATTGGGGGAAGGGAGAAAATTGGGGACAGGGGTGGGAGGAGGCAGCAACAAGGGGGCAAGGACAGAGGCGTGGGATGGGGTTGGGAAGACTAGCAGGCGGGAATGAATGAGACAAGTGTGAGGACACAGTCATCAGACGCCACAGGGAAATTCATTACCCTGCATGCTAATGCAGCAACTTAATAAAATATACATTTAAATGGTGTGTGTATCTGTCAGTTTTCAGTGTTTGCCAGATGAAGTTTCAGTTTGTTATTCAGGGACTCAAAACACAGAGATCTCCTCAGGCCGGGGTTCAGTTTGGCAGTGCGCACTGAGGTACCCTTCTCTTCACTTTCCATGTCACCCCTGGCATATCTTCAGTTGATAACTCTACGTGAGGTTCTACCTCCTAACTGAACCTCTCTCCCGGACTTTAGAGCCACAGCTGGCATGGATAGTTGGCATCTCTTTTTGAATATCACACTCTTATTTCATTGGAAATAAATCTCTGTTTTTCTCTCACATGTACGCCAGACACACAAACATACAAATAACCAGCAAAAAATTTTAAAAAATTAATATTTAATCTGTGTGTGTGAGAGAGAGAAAGAGAGAGGAGAGAG